GTCCTCCCTGTGTCTGTGTGGGTTTCCACAAGGTGCTCCATTTCCCTCCCATGGTCCAAAGTTGTGCAGGCTAGGTGGAAATAAATAGGGATATTTTGAAAAATGTCCATATTACAGAGGAGGAGGTGCTAGATGTCATACAGTGCATAAAGGTGGATAAATCCCCAGGACCTGATCAGGTGTACCCTTGAACTTTGTGGGAATCCAGGGAAGTGGCTGCTGGACTCCTTGAGAGATATTTGTATCATCAATAGCCATGGGTAAGGTACCTGAACACTGGAGGTTGGCTAACATGGTGTCACTATTTAAGAGAGGTGGTAAGGAAGAGCCAGAGAACTATAGACCAGCAACCCTGACATCTGTGGTGGAAAAGTTGTTGGAGGAGATCCTGAGGGACAGGATTTGCACATGTTTGGAAAGGAAAGGACTGATTAGGGATAGTTAACATCGCTTTGTGTATGGGAAATCATGCCTCACTAACTTGATGGAGTTTTTTGAAGAAGTAATGAAGAGGATTGATGAGGGTAGAGTAATGAATGTGATCTATATGGACTTCAGTAAGGCGATCGACAAGGTTCCTCATGGTAGCCTGGTCAGCAATGTTAGATCACATGGAATACAGGGAGAACTAGCCATCTGGATACAGAACTGTCTTGAAGGTAGAAGATAGAGGGTGGTGCTGGAGGGTTGCTTTTCAGACTGGAGGCCTATGACCAGAGGTGTGCCACAAGGATCGGTGCTGGGTCCACTGCTTTTTATCATTTATATAAATGATTTGGATGTGAACATAGGAGGTATGGTTAGTAACTTTGCAGAGGACACCAAATTGGAGGCGTAGTGGATAGCGAAGAAGATTACCTCAGAGTACAACGGGATCATGATCAAATGGGCTAATGGGCCAAGGAGTGGCAGATGGAGTTTAATTTGGATAAATATGAGGTGCTGTATTTTGGAAAGGCAAATCAGAGCAGGGCTTATACACTTAATGGTATCGTTCTGAGGAGTGCTGCTGAACAAAGAGACCTTGGAGTGCAGGATGATAGTTCCTTGAAAGTGGAGTCACAGATAGACAGGATTGTGAAGAAGGCATTTGATATGCTTGCCTTTATTGGTCAGTGCATTGAGTACAGGAGTTGGGAGGTCATGTTGCAACTGTACAGGACATTAGTTAGGCCACTTTTGTAGTATTGTGTGCATTTCTGGTCTCCCTGCTATAGGAAGGATGTTATTAAACCTGAAAGGGTTTAGAAAAGATTTACAAGGATATTGCCAGGGCTGGAGGGTTTGAGTTATAGGGAGAGACTGAGTAGACTAGGGCTATTTTCCCTGGAGTGTCGGAGGCTGAAGGGTGACCTAACAGAGGTTAATAAAACCATAAGGGACATGGATATGGTGAATAGTCAAGGTCTTTTCCCCAGGGTGGGGGAGTCCAAAATTAGAGGGCATAGGTTTAAGGTGAGAGGGGAAAGACAAAGAAGGGGTTTAAGGGATAACTTTTTCACGCAGAGGGTGGTGCGTGTATGAAATAAGCTGCCAGAGAAGTGGTGCAGGTGGGTACAATTGCAACATTTAAAAGAAATCTGGATGGGTATATGAATAGGAAGGGCTTAGAGGGATATGGGCCAAGGACTGGCAAATGGGACTAGATTTATTGAGGATACATGGTCAGCATAGATGAGTTGGACTATTTCTGAATGGTCTGCTTCCATGCTGTACAGCTCTATGACTCTGACTCTATCGCTGGCCATTTTGAACTGTCTGCAGTGTCCAGGAGTGGGCAGGCTGGCTGGGTTAGCCATGGTAAATGCAGGGCTGTGGGGTTACAGGGATAGGGTAGGTGACTGGGACTGGTTGGGATGCTCTTCAGGGGTTTGTTGTGGACCCGATGGGCTGAATGGCCTCTTTCCACACTGTAGGGATTCTATGAAAGGCACAATTCTATGAAAGGTTGAAATAAAGCATGAGTTTAAGTGGTATCTTCCATAATAAACGTTATAAAGAAGGCACAACGGAGAAGCAGTATTCAGGCTACTGAGCCCAGGGATCGTCCACTTCCACCTGCTTTTTTTCTCCCTTTTAGCTTTGTTTTTCCTTTTCTTGAAAGTCTTCCATCTTATCTTCTCGCCTCGGTTGCAGAATCGGCGAGAGCAGGGCCTGCGCGGAATGGCAGACGAAGGCGGCAGCCCAGGGAGTGGTGAGAACCAAGCAAGTGTAGAAGGAGGAGGCATCTGGCAGTAGCAGCAGCTAGGCCTGGATGCCTGACTGGAGAGGCGGCCACGAAAGTGGGTTTGGTCCCAGGGCAGGACACTGCAGCACCAGCGGCGGCTACCTTGGCGAGGCCGGGCCCCAGTGTGAATGCACGGCAGAGGGGATGCTGGTGGAGGCAAGGCAGTGCCAGAGAATGGTGATTCTTCATTCTGGCGTCATGGCATAGCATGGTTGTGGCAGTGTCATCAGGTTAACAGCAGGGACTGGAGGCATTAGGCTGGAGGAGGCCGGAATCAGGCCCATGACTAAGCTACAGGAAGGGGCTGTTCCAAAGACCACCTGTTGACATAAGACTGCAAGATGAACTTCATTGTTTTATTTTAGGGCCTAAACTCTCCCATGTCTCAGCCCCCCACCCCACACACCAGGCCTTGTTACCACATAGCCTGCCACTACACACCCCCTGTTGTGAGTCACTAACAGTCCCCATTAACAACTATTCACCCTCCCAGCCTGATCGTTAGCAACTCCTTTGTCTGTCCAACTGACTTTCTCTCTCTTTGGGGTCTATCCTATCGTTTACTCCCTCCCCCACCCACCTCCCTATTTTCTGCATATAAACTGATGGTAAACTGATGTTTTCCCAACCACCATCAGTTCTGAGGAAGGGTCACCGGACCCAAAACGTTAATTCTGTTTTCTCCTTCACAGATGCTGACAGACCTGCTCAGCTTTTCCAGCAACTTTGTTTTTGTTTATTTGCTTTATTTTGTTCTGGCTTTATATTCTGTATTTCGGTTTATTTTCTATTTTCTGAGAATGGCGACATTACATAATACTTTCTACTCTTTTTATAATAACTACACATGGCAATCAATAACTCAATTAAAAATGTAGATCAAAGTGCTTCACAGCCATCCGAGAACCTTTGGCAAGCGTGCCACGACAGCTGCAAATGACAGAAATTGTTGGGAAAACTCAGCCAGTCTGGCAGTATCTGAGAAGAGTTGGGTCCAGTCCCCCTTCTTCAGAACTAGTTTTAGCTCGGAAAAGTTTGATGTACATGTGGAAGATGGTGTTGGGGAGTGAGGAGTAAACGATAGGTGAAAATGGAGCCCAGAGAGCATGAGAAACAGTTTTACAGACAAAGGGATGGGTAAAGGTCAAAGAATCAATCGTTGTTAATGGGGACCATTAGTGTCTGACAATGGGTTGTATCTGTTTCAGCCCATATAATGATAAGGCCTGGTGTGTGGGGAGTTGGGTTAGGACATGGGAGAAGGTGCTCAGGCCCTAAAATTATCGAACTCGATATTGAGTCCTGAAGGCTGCAGGGTCCCCAAAGTTAAATGAAAAGGCAGAAAATGAAGTGTTGTTCTTCTAGCTTGCACTGGGCTTTGCTGGAGCAGTGCAGTAAGCCCAGATACAGATGCTGGCCAGGGAACACGGTGGTGTGTTGAAGTGGCAGGTGACAGGAAGCCCAGGGTCATTTTACGAACAGAACATAAGTGTTCTACAAAGCAAGCGCAGTCTGCATTTCGTCTCCCCAGTGTAGAGGAGACCATATTGTGAGCAGTGAATACCGTAGACTGGATTGAATGAAGTGCAGGTAAATCACTAGCTAAAAAAATCACTAGTTCTGAAGAAGGGTCACTGGACCTGAAACATTAACTCTACTTTCTCTCCACAGATGCCACCAGACTGCTGTATTTTTCCAGTAAATTCTGTTTTTGTTTCGGTTTCCAGCATTCACAGTTCTTTGATAACAAGGTGTAGAGCTGGATGAACACAGCAGGCCAAGCAGCATCATAGGAGCTCATGACTAGCTGCTTTGGTAATGTTGATAAATGTTGATCAGTGTGACCCTCCCACCCAGCTCTTATTTTGTTAACACCTCCAGTAGAGAGACCAGACCTCCGATAGTCCCCCAACATTGCACTGGCAATGGCAGTTGTCTTTTGTTCTCAAGCCTCTACAGTGTGGCTTCAAACCCAAATTTAAAACCTTTATGATTAGGAGGTGCTATTTGAAACAAAAAATGCTGGAAATCACAGCAGGTCAGGCAGCATCTGAGAGACTGCAAGCTAACGTTTGGAGTCTAGATGACTCTTCATCAGAGCTGAGCTGAGTTCGGATGAAGAGCCATCTAGACTCCAAACGTTAACTTGCCTCTCTCTCCATGGATGCTGCCTAACCCTCTGTGATTTCCAGCATTTTTTGTTTTCAGTGCAGATTCCAGTATCTGCAGCAATTTTGCTCCAACCAGGAGCGGCTACTTAACTGATTATTGGATGGTGCTTCTAGTCAAAGGAGAGAGATTCCTATTCCCTGAATGTGGGTTCAGATCCACTATACAGGATTGCTACAATTTTTTGTGAACTTGTAAAGTTTCATTTTTCAGAAAAAAAGAATCTTTATGTATTTTCTTTGAAGATTTATCCTCTCAGGGAATGGCGTATAATAAAAACATTTAAATATTGAAAGGTGAAGAGTGTTAGATGTTTGAGAGAAGGGATGGTGGTACTCTTGCGGTTAAAAAAAAGCGTGAGTCTAAATAATTGAAAAGTCATAACTTCGAGCTGGAATTCCTATAGCGATTTGGCACCATTCCCATAATCATAGCGTAGATTCCCTATTTAAAACGACAGCCAAAAGGCATATCCCGACCTAACTCCTCTTCCTATGACACTCCACCTACTCCACACCCACACAAACAAAAAAAACTTACAAATGTCAATCAAGCTCACAGCATCTAATCCTTGGGATTTCCAAAAACACACACACACAATAAATATCTCGCACCAAATTCAACTCCAAAACGTCGACCCCGAGTTTGGAAGAATTATTTTTTGCTGAAACAGAAGTACGATTTTATTGGGAACATCCTACATAAGTGTTGGAACCGGCTGGAATCGAGACTGGGTCACATTTCTTGTCAGTTTCAGGATGATTCTTGGAGTTTCAGGTTGGATGATGCTGTGCATTTTGGAACTGGCTTCGAGTGCAGACCAGGTAAGGGGGTGGGTGAGGGCGAGTTGGTGTATCCGGAGACAGGCTAAAGTTATTCTCACTTTTACAAACGTATTGGTCCCTTTATGCAGGAGAAATGTGATTTTATTAATACTTCAAGACTGTGCAACAAAATATAAGGGTCCTGCTGCTAATTTTGTATTCCGGAATTTGAAGCATAGTCGACAGTGTCGCAGGAGGTGGACTCGGCTGATAAGTAAGGAGAGGGGAGAATATTGAGCCCCGAATGAATTACGATTTAATGTAATGTAATCGACCCTTAGCGGTGGTTTGTATTAATTGTTAATATAAGCAAAGTAGCAATCCCTTCTCGACATCCAGACTAGAGGAGATGTCCCCGGTGAATGAGTTGAAACTGGCAGATAGCCATGCGTCTGATAAACGTGGTTATCCTTAAGCGCGTTATTTATTTATTTGTTACATGGATGGAATGTGATTTTCGACTTTCCATCACCGCCTCAAATGGCCACAGCGACCCGAATCAAGTTTAAAGCCAACCGTTAAACCGAGAACATCCTCACTCCAAACTGGGGTCGGTCTGCAGGTTTTGTGACATGTTCCCAGCTCTTCACCTGGCTTCCTGGATCTTCTGGACAGTTTTTCAATTAAACCTCTGGTTTTACTCTATGTTTTGCCCTTTTCCCCGTTGTGGCTATTTGGGAATACAGGTCCATTCTGTCTTTACTTAAAAAGGCTTCATTTGGGGCGTACGGTGTTAACATCGAATTCCCAACTGTGACCTTTAACCTTTTGCTGGCCAGCTGTACACGTGTTTTGAAAATTCAGCCTGCTTTACGCCTGTTCACTGTAGGATGGTAACTGACCTTGTAATAAACACATGTCAAGTACATTTTATTTATATTGTGAGATTTCCACTGAAGCAGGTGCACGTGGCTAAAATAATGTCATTACCAGCGATGCTTTTGACAGCTCAGAATATTCTAAAGCAGTTCCAAAGAGTTCATTGCAATTTTTGACTGTCTCTTGGTAAATGGGACTGTGCATAGGCAGAGCATTGCATACTTAGCCACTGGCCCTAACTCATTTACAGCAGGTATGAGACTCGGGAGCCAGCACCTGTAATACAACTGTGCCCTGTGTCCTTGGTTCAGTGGAGACACACAAGCCTATACACTACATGGGTTTGTCTCAAAATCTGTGGTGCTGCATTCCAAAGCATGCAAATGTAAGAATGAGGGCACTGTACCACAACGGAGTAATTAAAGAGTGTGTGTTTATGTGGAATTTCAGGCATCGTTTATTTTGGCACGAGGAGAAGGCTGGAGATAAAGGACAGTGAGAAGCTGTGATAAACTCGGGCAATTCAGGCTGCTTGTAGTCAGCTGCGGAGGCAAAGGAACAACTTACATTTATGCTGTGTCTCTCAGCGCCTCAGGGCGTTCTGAAGTGCTTCACAGCCAATGAGACACTTTGCAAGTGGAGTCACTGTTTTATTGTAGGAACCAATGTAATGGCCAATGTGCACATAGCAAAGTCTCACAAACAGCAAAGAGACATATCCCAGGTCACGTGTTTTGTTGAGGGATTAACCATGGAATCAGGGAGAAGTCCATGTCTTCAACGAGGTTTGGTAGGTCCTTTAAATCCACCTGAAGGGGCCATGTTCAATATTTCATCCAAAGTGGAACACCTCCAGAACAGAGCAGGTCTTCCTCGGTACACTCCTGAGAGTCAGCCTGAATTGTGCATTTAAGTCTTGGGATTGGAACAGGGTGGGGAGTGGGGGTGTGGGGAAGGAGTGAGATGAGGGTCACCTTCTGTGGTGCTTTTGGTGGGAAATAGAGACTTCATATTGCATCAATATTGTTTAATCTATAACCTTCCAAAGTAATTTGCTGAATGTTAAAGTGCCTTGTTGTGAATCGCATTACATTTCGGGGTTATGCTGAGAAGTTTGCAAAATGATCTAGTGCGTATTTGGGAGGGACGGGTGACTGGGAACCTCTGGTTGTCCACCACTCGGAATTCCTTCATTTCCTCCCCCTGTGGGAATTTGATGGCAGGGCACATTTCATCGTTGGGATCCCATCACCCAAACTCTGCTCTGATTAAGCCTGGGCAGAAAAACTCATGGATGGCCTTCCCACCCAGAAGCTAACTGAGGTGCATCTCTGAAAGATTCATCCATTCCGTACTTTCATCTGCTCACTCTACCCTCTTCCTCCAGCCAGTGAAGCCCACAATACCTGCTTGTCTGTATTTACCTTTCACCTGGCAATCCTACGACCCATGGCAGTCTTCGGTTTCTGTGGATGCAATACCAGCAGCTTCTTGACCCACGGCTGAGCACTTAACATAACATAAGAACATAAGAACATAAGAACTAGGAGCAGGAGTAGGCCATCTGGCTCCTCAAGCCTGCCCCATCATTTAATAAGATCATGGCTGATCTTTTTGAGACTCAGCTCCACTTACCCACCCGCTCACCATAACCCTTAATTCCTTTACTGTTCAAAAATTTATCTAGCCTTGCCTTAAACAAATTTAGCGAGGTATCTTCAACAGCTTCACTGGGCAGGGAATTCCACAGATAAGGGGATGGGTGAGGGTGAGTTGGTGTATCCGGAGACAGGCTAAAGTTATTCTCACTTTTACAAATGTGTTGGTCCCTTTAACTATGCAGGAGAAATGTGGCTGGTTGGCACTTAAATATGACGAGTCTTTCCCAATGGAGGCAAATGCCAGGCCTGCAGCTGGAAAATAAGATCACTGTCATTGGATTAGATCTGCCCCTCATCTCCTAATCTGTTATAGACAGAAAGAGGTTATGTATTATGATTATTTCACCTCTCCATTATTATATTGTGCAATTAACAGGATGATAGTAGTCAAACTAGATGGACCATAGTCTCTTTTTTTATTTTTGACTATTATTTCCTATGTTAAAGGGCATCCCAAATTAAAGTCCAAAGAATCAAAAACAAAAGTTGCTGGAACTTCTGTCTTTATTACTGCCCAATGGTACATTCTGTAAACTGGCATGGAGATTGGAAAGAGGCAGTATGCAGTCATTGACGAACGCGTTCGGTACTGTTCGCAACTTTGCATGTATTGAAGCAGTCAGGTACAATATCCAGCAAGACCTGGGCAACATTCAGATTTATGTTGACAAACGGTATGTAGTATTCATGCCACAGTGCCAGGCAATGGCTATCTCCAACAAGAGAAAATCTAACCATCTCACCCTGACTTTCAATTAATTATGTTACCATTGCTGAATCCCTCGCTATCCACATCCTGGGATTACCGTTGACAATAGCTGAATTAGAATAGCCATAAAAATACAATGGCCACAAGGAAAGGTGAGAGATTGGGAATTCTGTGACAAGCGACTCACCTCCAGACTCCCTCAAGCCTTTCCACCATCTTCAAGTCACAACTCAGGAGTGTGATGGAATTTTTTTTCCACTTTTCTGGATGAGCGCAGCTCCAACAGCACTCAAGAAGCTCAACACCATCCAGGACGAAGCAGCCCATTTGACTGGCACCACATGAAACATTAATTTCATCTACTGTGTTAACAGTATCTTATTATATTCAGGATTTTTGGCAACAGCTCACCAACACTCCTTCATCAGCATTTTCAGACTCCAAATCTTTTCCACCTGGAAGGATAAGGGCAGCAGATGTGAAGACCACCAACTGCAAGCACATAGCATTCTGACTTGGCACTATATTGCTCGTCCTTCACTGTTGCTGGGTCAAAATCTTATAACTCTCTTCCTGACAACACTCTGGGTGTCCCTAGAGGCTGAGGACAGTGGTTCATAAATCACCTTCTGAAAGACAATTGGGAATGGACAAGAAATACAGCCAGAGATGTCTACTTCCTTGAAATTTTTTTAAAAAAATTGCTGCCAGGCTATGCTTCAGGATGTGAATGCCTCAGAAATACGATCTTTGGGACAAAAAAAGATACTACAAGGGCCTTCAGCTACACATTATAATGTCTAAACCAAATGGTGGGGAATAAAATGTTATTGGCTATTATACCATGAAGGGTACAGAGGAGTGAGAATTGAATTTCTTAAAACAATGGCACATTCAATTGAGCAATGAAAAGTAGAGGTGAAGATGGAAAAGCACAAAGTCATGCCAAAAACAGAAAGATTTGGGGAAACTCAGCTGGTCTGGCAGCATCTGTAGAGAGAGAAAGCAGAGTTAACGTTTTGAGTCTAGGATCCTTTTTCAGACACCTTCTTCGCCATAAGTTATGCCATTTTGCAGAACTCTTGTGCCACCAGAAGAAATCTGCCACTAACTGATTGTCTCCTGTTCCCAGAAGCAATCATTCTGGTGACATCAGATCTGATAAGTTTTCTTCCAAATCATGTGTGGTGCTAATCAGTTACTGTAGCTTCATCCTAATCATGTTCAATTTGGCAATTTATTCTGCAGCATTTACATTTACATCAGAATTTGCATAATGTCATACCTTTAGAACTCCAGAACATCCCAACACACTGTCCACACTTATGTGTTTTGCAATGTGACCTAGAGCTGATGTAAACATAATAGTCACACAAATTTATATTAAAAACTAGCTGTAAGCCTTGGAAGCAATTAGTTTGAACTCAAAGTTCCCACTCATTAAAACCTGAGTGCAAAATCTAGCATAGTAGTTCAGTTTGGGACTGAAGGTGTGCTGCAATGTAATTGTTACATCTTGAAAATGAGGCTGTCTGCCCTCTTGGATGGACGTACAAGGTTTCATGGTGCTATTCGAAGAATGACTGAGTGAAAACAACATTATTAAAATATATGATATGGGCATTAACATATTGCAGTTTATGGAAGCTTGCTGTGTGAAAGTAGAACGTCTTCCTTAATTTACCACAATGGCTGGCCTTCACCAAATCTTTTAGGGCATCCTGAGTCTTTTAAAGCTGCTATATAAATGCACATTCTTTCTTTTATTATACTAATAGTAAAAATGGTAAATTAATTATTAAATTAATAAA